AAATTCAAAATGCAATTTCCATACATTACGTGTTTCTAGGTAGCTTGACAGGTATTAATATTATCCGACCTCCCAACAAATAGTGTATGCAACTTGCAATCTAAATTTCATGACTACCGAGATACAATATTATATAGCAGGTGAATTTTAATAACCCGTCGCTAGGTATCGTGTATAAATAAAAATTTAAACATGAATACATTTTGAAAATTATATATTGAAAGGGTGTACACCCCCCGATAACTGGAAAGCACTGGTTGTTTGATTTCGAAAGTACAAGACAGGGAAAGTTGAGAGAGGTTTCTAAAAAAATATTCTGTGCAGACAGGAACTGAATGTGAATAGTTCCATTCCAAAATTACCTTTATAATAATGCCAAAGAAACAGACTTTTACACTTTACTCCTTGCAGATTGAATCCTTTTCGACTGATTCCGGTCATTGGTTATCTCAATAGAGCTATCATAAGGCCCCTATTGACTACCCCCCCCCCCCCAAAAAAAAAGGACACAGAAAGGCAGACGGATAGGATAGAAAGAGCGAAAGTCTAGTGTGTTGCAGAGATCTAAATTAAAATTTTAAAAAGGGGAACACAAATTAAACCAAAGAAACTTTGATATTCATACTAAATTGTTTATTTCAAACAGCACCATATGAGTATCTATGTGAATACAACTACTGTCCATGTTTTAAAGAATACAATTTTTTTTTACATCGTTTCCATTTTTTTCTTGTATGGTCCATTCCATAGCCTCATTTATCTACAATCTACCACGAGTATTAACAAGCCGCATGCAATTTATGAAAGTGTTAATGCATGCTTTCCAGATAAAGGTTACTCCTGACAATCACAAATACTTGTCTGAGGTTTGCCTGACCTGGGCCCTGTCTTGAAAGGAGTTGCGACTGATTAATTTGAACGCACCTTGCTACTAAAGACCAAGAGTGCGATTGATTCGACGACCTTCGACCAATGCGACCAATCGTAAATCTTTGTAACTTATACAGTACAATATGTAAATTCAACTTCAATTTATTGTCCAATATTGGGAATTTGTTTTGCTCACAATTTACAAACGTACAAAGAATCAAAATAAGTTTACATGTAAAACATCATATACATGTAGAAATTCTTCAGAATATTGCTTAACAGAAAGTTTAACAAAATAAGTGAATTAATTTAAATGTTCAAGTGAACGGGATGGCCCGAAAATGTTACAAAAATAACATTACACAAATAAAGAAGAACTAAAATTCAGGTAGCATTTTGGTTGTATTTGCGGATCGAGAAAGGAACTAAGGAATTTAGAAAGCGTTGAGTGCGACAGGTTCATTGAACGTAGTCGTTTACCAGAATGCATACAAACATAGTATGGAATTGGAAGAGTGGATGATTTTCGTTTTTTACAATTTGTTTTACTTCGAGAATTATTTTGGACTCGCATGCTTCATTCAAATTCTGAATTTCACTTGTGATCTTCCCTGCTTGTTTGGTGATTCTCTGGAGTTTGCTAAAGTCTTTCTTACTACACCTCCCATACATGTACCTGGCAACTTAACTGAATAACATAAAATCAGACTTTATCTCAACAAAACATTCAAATTCTAAATTAATTGACTAAAGTTGTCAGGAAAATGTAACATTGTAAGTTCTGAAACACTAAACCTTATTTACACAGTCATGAATGAGTTATGAATTTCAAGGAGGCGTAGAAACCCAAGTACTCATCTTTAAATTAAGTTTTCCTGAAAAAAAGAAATAACCTCAAGCATTATTGTCTACTGATTGTTTGGCGCTTTGTAAACTGCTCTTTCTAATCAGAAATGCAGCTGATTTCTACCAATCTACAAATATATACATGTATTATATGCTAATACTTGCAGTATTTTCAACATGACATTGCAAAGCTCCCGTGCTGTTTTGTATACATGGTGCTATAATTTTTCTATTCTATTCTTACCACCTTTATTTTCACCGTGGCAAATATGCCATTCATCTTTGAACAATGAATGATTTCTTGCGCTATGGGTGCGGAATAATTAGAAGCCTATACATCACCTAGTGGTCTCCTAGGCAAAAAATGCCTAGAGAATAGAAAATAGAGAATTCACAAATGACATAGATGTACGTAGACTATTCATGACAGGACTCTATTTTGCGAGCTAAATTGAAAAAAAAATACTCTTTTAAAACATGTTATCAGTACATTTGGTACAATCAGATAATTTAGATTTTACGTCACAAAAAACTTGGTGCAGTCTGCCATAAATAAGGAATTGAGGTAAACTATTCACTCATGATAATAACATATTCACCAATGACATAGATGTAGGTAGACTATTTATGATAAAGGTAACTATTTACTCATGTGAAGAAAAATACATGTAAAATAAATAATCGGATACAATAAATATGTGTCAATATGCCCTGTTACATGTAGGTCCTTTAAATTTGTTTTTCTAAGCATATTTTGTGAAATGTCCAATGAACGTGGAATACTGGGAGTGCTACAGGTACTTTTTCACCATATTTTACTGTGCATGTTTTAATAACAAAGGTGAAAGGTGAAAGGTGAAAGGTGAAAGGTGAAACCATATGATTGTCTACCACCATTTTATATTTCAAATTATTTAAATGAAACAGAATAAAAGGCATATCGAAAGCCACAAGATAAATAACTTCTGAATTGTTGATCTCACAGCAGTCACACTGACAAGATGTTTCTACCCGGTACATGTACCCATTTCATCTGGGTTGAGTTTGGCATATACATGTATGCAGATATCAGGGGAAGTCCACCCTGATATTAAGATTGTTTATATGATAAAAGCAGAAATATGAGAAGAACAGGTCGACGAAAGTTTGAGCAAATTCTGATTTAAAAAAAGAAAGTTATGAGTTTTTGTGAGTTGCGGTCAATCAAACACAAATTGGCAACTCTATGACGTATCTTGCCAGCTCTTCTCCCATTTGCTCTGTACTAAAACAAATCAGAAATTAACATTTTCCCTAAATGATTTTTGATAAGATCATACATGCACCCTTATTACAGTTATTGCAAATGTGGTTTTATAAACCATCCCTGTATGGAAGGGAAAAAATTATTCTGTCATCAATAACGAAGTTAATGAAAATTTATGAAATTATATGTAGAGCAAATTGGAGAGGACCTCGCAAGATATGTCACAATGTTGCCCATTTGTTCCTTTCATTTTCTGCTTCGTATCAGGGTAGACTTCCCCTTTAGCGTTTTTACCAAAGGACGTGAGTACAAAGTGATAGTATTACAGAAGTTTGGTTATACCGGTCATCAATAGACAGGCTAAATACATGTGTACATATATCTGCCAACGTTTCACAGCAAAAATCTCTTGAGCAAGTCTCTTGAGAGAAAATTAGGAAAATCGTCTATTTGTACATTTTTAAAAGAGAAAAAGAAAATGAGAGGAATCTACATGTAGGGTTTGTTAGATTTGTTTGAAGATCAGAATAGGCATAATTCCTCCTACAAAGGACAGTTGGTAATTATGTCAATGATGGGAACATTAACAAGTAAAGTCCTTCAGAATGAATTGCTATTGTCCAGGAGTGTTTCCTCCTCAACAATGATGTTTTGCGGAAATAAAATGTCACACATTTTGCTCTGGTTACATAGAAAGCCTGTTCATTCCCCATCACAATGACAGCTATCTGCGAATGGTAATACATGTAGATCACTATCCTCACTAGTCCTCTTTCAGGGAATATTAGTTGAAGGCCTTTAATCATGAAAGGTTTTTTTATTCAACCTGTCTTCTCCAGACAAGGACTCCTTTTTGCGAGCTAAATTGAAAAATACTCTGTTAAAATATGCTATCAGTATGTTTAGTACAATCAGACAAAAAGACAATTTTGATTTTACGTCACAGTCTGCCATTACATTATGAATTGAAGTATGGGGTAGCACTAATATTTAAAAAATCTAAAATGTATACTATGAATTAAACAAATGATATCACTGGAGTGATTAAATGATTATGTATAGTGACACACATCATCAGTGAAATATGAGTTGCTGCTTTTTAGAGGATTTCATCAATTGACATGATCAATAATAGGTACAATATCTGTTGCTCTTGCAGTCTGTATCCAGGGCCTGTTGAAAAACAAAATTTACAATTGATGGTAATGTCCATGGAAACTTTGTTTTGATTGACTGTTAAGTACTTGATATTGATGGCAAAGTCGCCATCAATGGTAAGTTTTCTGCAATGGGTCCCAGCAATGAAAAATGAAATTGAATTCTAATACTGTATAAACCATAACAATACTAAAATACACAATGGAAATAAAAGCTACAAAAGTACACATTGAAAGTAAAAACTACACTGTAAAAATACTGAACATTTAAGTATTTAGATAATGAAAAATGACAAACAATATTTACATGTTTACTGTACAAAAAAGAAATCTGAAATTAACATTCATAATAAATCAACATGTATTTGCACTCCTATAGTTTGAAAATATCAGGAGAACTATACACAAGCTGTGATTTTGTCTCAACTTAAATTGTTACATTATAGGGGAAATACCAAATTTATGATTTGACATACTGACATGACAATCACAATTTGAGGGTAATATTTACTAATAAACCATTGAATTTATATATTGCATCATCTAAGGATACAGTACTCTAAAGAGAAAAGGAAACAAAGTCTGTTCTAGCTAGTGCACATCAAATTAGAAAGGCGTACCCAACTACTTAATAATCAAATGTTTAATTCACAAATTTGAGTTTTATGTATAATTAGAGATCTGAGATCAAACACTTGTATAAACATTTATATTCAATATCCTTGTTATTTTTTCTATCATTTACATATATTTCTACATCCTATTTCTCTATTTTGGGAGGTTTCTCCTACCAAACACTTGACTGGAAAAATATGCTCAACATATCTCAGTCTTACTGTATCTCTCGTTTCAATTTTGTCTATCCTTATTTTTGTTTGTAGGTTTGTAGGACATACAGACATGTTTGTGATATCCCCCTTACATATATGGTGTATGGTCATTATTAAAGTTCAATTTATTGTACCTCAATATTAATTTTGTCAAAATACTCACAATGGTGTTCATGAAAACAAATTAATCATTTAACATGTCTACTTGGATATTATCAACATTTATGGGTTTTCATGTGTCGATGCCAGTCTGAATTTCGAGCAAACTTCTTACAGCAAACACCACACTCGTATTTCTTGTCGACATGGATCTTGAAATGAGAGTGCAAACCATTCCGTCCTGCAAACCTCATCCCACATTCTGAGCAGACGTGTCTCCTCTCTTCAGAATGTAGTTTGGCATGGTCTTCCAGCAATCGCTCCAAATCAAAGCTCTGATGGCAAATATCACAGCGAAACTGTTTGAGGTCGGTGTGGGTTCGCAGATGGCGCTGCACATCGCTCTTGCGTGTGAATTTCTTAGAGCACACCCTGCAACCATACTGTCTTTTTTCATGTGTCCGAGAATGTGAATAAAGCCCGCTTGATTGGGCAAATCTCATGCCACATACTTTACAAACATACTCTTTAGAAGCAGAATGTAGTCTTTCGTGGTCCCGTAGGTGAGCGAAATCCCCAAATTTTCTACCACAGGTGGAACAGGCATAGGGTTGCTCCCCTGTGTGCGAGCGGATGTGGCGTCGGAGATCATCCTTTCGGACAAACTCTTTTGTACATATTTCACATTTGAAAGCTCCGGACATGTTACCTGGGTTCTTTCTTTCCTTTTCAAGGTTGTTCTCTATAAATGGCTCCAACTCCTCATTGGAAAACTTCAAAGGTTGAATCATAAGGGTGCCAATGACAGAGTTTGTGATTGACTGGGGGGATGGCGCATAGGGCAAATTTGGCTGCACGGAGCCAGTTTTTGATGGCTCCACATGGATTGAATTTAACTGAATTTTATACTTGGGAGGTCTTCCTATTTTTTGACCTGCCCTTGGAACGGTGGAAGAATTACTGGATTCCGAGGTGTATTCTGTTTTTACTCTCACCTTTGCCTTGTTGTTGCCAATATGCAATGAAGCGCTTTCTTTGGAACCTTGAGGCTTATTTTTAGACCCTTTGGGTCTTCCTCGTCCCTTTTTTCCTCGCTTAGAAACTACATCACATTTTTTTGCTTTCTTGGGCATTGGAAATTTAACTGCACCATTACTCTCACATGTTTCCTCTGCCTTTTCTTGATCTGTAGCGCAATCATCATCACTGTCAATTCCTATAATCTCTGCCCCATGTACAACTCGGAAATGGGATCTGAGGAACAAGGTACCCGTAAACGTTTCATCGCAGAGGTCACACGTCAATATCTTTCTCTTTCGTGGGACTTCAGGCAAGATAGAAAAACCAACGTCATCACAATTACTCTCCACAAGATTGGGAGTGCCTAGCATGACAGCACCTGACTTATGTTTATGTGAATGAATTTGGGTATCATGTACAATAGATTGGCAAGATTGAGATGTGTTACCAGTCTTTTCAAAAACCTGATCAGCCGATGAAGTTCCATGATTGGCATCGTCTTCAAAAGATGTTGCTTGGCAAGAAGCAGCGTTTGAGTGGTCTTTAGGGCTGGGGGATCCCTGTTTCTTCTCATGTGTCTCACTGGGTATCAGGCAAGGTGGAGACTCGCTGCAAAGGGCCATGAAACCTACATCAAAGATAAAACATTGCATTACAGAACTAAGAATCGATACTCAGTCATAGAACTAAATTACTCAACTGCTTTCTGGAATAGTAACAACTACAAGGCTCTGTTGGCAAAGCTTAAAGGCAATCGAGGCTCCATCATATTTGGGATATGTCATGATATTTTTGGGTATCTAGGAATGCTCCAGCTTATGAGGTAATCCATCATTATTGATTTTAATATGTTCAAAATGCATGTTTCTGATTATCTAATCCCAATTCTAATAACAAGTAGTATACCATTGGTGTACCATTAATTCTCAACTAATGGAGACAAAGTATTTAGATGTTACCAATTACATTAAAGATTACCTGAGAATCATACAAGTAGAAACCCCTACATATATGTAATACCTTGAATCAGTGAAAATATAAATGAAATAAGATACTTTAGAGTTGACAGTGATCAATTTTCCAATACACTTCAGATATGGGACACACAATTATGAAATTGTTTAGTCTTGCCAACATACAGAACTGGTTGCTTTAAGCCCTTTTTTCCCTTGACTTTGTGTTGAATCGTAAAATCCAATCCAATCCTGATTATAACACCCTCCCAACCCCCTCCTCTTAAGATAAACTATGTACCTGTGACACCTGTCTCCATCCCTTCGTCATCAAGGATGGTCTTCTGGGGCGTCTGTTGCTTCCTGATCTTTCTTGGAATGGGAAACTCTACATCATCTAAGTCAGCTTTAGCTTTGCTAGCAGAGGGCAGATGGTCCGAGTCAGCTCTACATGTATCTTCAGCGTCAGAGGGCTGATGATCTGAGCCAGTGATGTCCTTGGACTTAAAGATAACCTTGAGTTCTGGTTAAAAAAAAAAAAAATGAATTTTCACAAAATCAAACGAAACTTACACTGAATATTCAAGATTACAAATAAATGTCATGGGCCAAACAATTTTGGAAGAAAATGTATACTGGCTGAGTAATGAGCATAGAAAGATAAGGAAATCAAGGTAAGCTAGCCCTGACACCATTTGTGAAGTCTCATATACATCTTTCTGTGTATGTACAGTGCTGTATACTTTACCGAGACTGGGCCAAATTTATTATGATTTTGATGACTCCAGAACCTTGCAGTGCACATCAATACTTACATGCTACATGATCAACTTTTCTGATCCATTCCACACCTTTCTTTCACAATGCAATCGCATGACCAGAACTCACCTTTATCTTTAAGGGGTAGGCCAGAGTTGTCACGTGAAGAGAAGCTGGATTGTAGTGAACGCTGTGAGCTGGTTTCATAGCTGGTGCTGACATCAATGGAAGTCACTGGCTGGTTCATTGCATCGACAGATAAGTCCTCAACAAGGAAGAGTGGGGCAAAGTCCATTATATCTGCTACGGGTTCAGGAGATGATTCTTGCTTGATCCTCCGGTCGAGGGGAAGAGTCATACTCTCCTCTTCCATACCACAGGAAGTCTCATGCTGTAAATCAATACTTCTGTTAAAATGTTGAGTCCTCTCGTTTTCGGCACCAACAACAGCATCGAGGACTGTACTGGTTTGTAGACTTGACACCGAATGGACCATGACTTCGGCCTGCTCCTGTGAGCCACCGTGGATCTGTTCTAGGTGAAATCGGAGGTACATTGCTTGGGTGAAGGCCCTGTAACAGAGAGGGCATTGATGGGGCTTATTGCCTGTGTGGATGCGTTCGTGGGTCTCCAATCTGTGCTGGCTGTAGAACGGGTGGTGACAGAATCTACAGGAGAACAGGCGAGCCCTCTGCGGCATCGCCTTTCAGATGTAATTATTGTTTGGAGATTTACGAGAAATGGCTCACAACAAGGATCCTCATTGGAATATTGTCCTGTAAAACATAAAGGAAAATATAGATAAAAAATTATTGACAAGAAGGCCTGAAATATTCTAAATAACAGAGCTCTGATTAATCAAAATGACAACATGTAATCAAATATAACAGCCCTACCCAGCTTTAAAAAGTACATTACATGACCTGCTTTGTTAAATGTTGATTGTAGAAGAGAAATAAATCAATTTGAACCACTGGTTACCCCCTCCCTCCATAAAAATAAAAATCTTATAGAAATTTCAACAAAAAAAACAAAAAAAATAGGCACAGATAATGCTCATCAACCATACCTATATTTACAATGAGCTTACAATCATTAAAGATAAAGTTGAGTTCTGGTCTTGCGATTGCATTGTGAAAGAAACGGTGTGGAATCGACCAGAAAAGGTTGTTCATCTAGCATATATAAGAATTTGTGTGTATTGCAAGGTTCTGGAATCAACAAAATGATAAGAAATTTGGCCCAGTCTTGGTAAAGTTACAAACACTGTAAACAGAAAGATGGGACTACACGAACACGTGGCGTAAAAATCCTACCCTGGATTTTTACGATGTTACACGACATATTTAGAATATGAAGGCATTTGAAGAGCCATGCTTTTCAGAGAACATGTCTTATCTGATGTTCTTCCACACTTGCATAATAAGAATGATAACGCTCGCAAATTATTTTTCACCTCTTCCCAGAACTCAACCTTCTCTTTAAAGTTGGCCGCTCAGCATACATGAATGCATGAAATGGAATATTTGTTTATCCATAATTATTCCCAAATCCTCTTAGGTTTAGAGAAATGATATGATGACCAGAGAAATTCAAATACTGAAGAAGTGAAGTCATCAGGATGGTAATCAGTCATTTCAGAAGAATAGAAATCAGTGAAAAAAATACACGGGGGCTCTGAGCGAATTAACCCTCAAAATGCCCAAAAGAGATCCTGAAAGTCATAAAAGAGCCCCAAAAATCTGCTTAGAGTTCAATGCAAAACAAATTAAAGAATGTTATTTTCATGCAAGCAAGCCTTATTCCCATCATGAATGCTTATTTTCATCCATCACTATCACTGTCATTCAATTTACCATCTTGAGGTGCATTTACACTCCAACCAAAAATCATTAATTTTTCTCACATTCCTGTGTGTTTCGCCGGCAGTTTCATAGCAAAGCAACTACCTAACTGTGTTAAAGGTAAAGACCAGTTATGGTCATGCCATTGCATTGTGAAAGAAACGTTGTGGAATCGATCAGAAAAGGTTGATCATCTAGCATCTAGCATCTGCAAGGTTCTGGAATCATCAAAATGATAAGAAATTTGGCCCATTCTTCGTAAAGTTACAAGCACTATACACAGAAAGATGTACATGTATATGGGACTACCCTATATCTCTCACAGACCATGAGAGAAACAAATTTACCAAATATATGAATTAGTAGGCGGTTTCCCAGCAAATTTTTTATCATCATGTATTAGTCAAAACATATTCTTTCACATGATTGGTTATGAGAGCTTCCAATTAATTTTTTGAAATTGGGGCATTTCCAATAATGGTCTTTACCTTTAGTATTTAATAACCGATCATGTTCGACAGCAATGATAAACAAGCAATGTAATCGGGCATAGAGATTTCCCTTCATTTTGACAAAAACGTCATTTAAATTAGAAAAAGGCAAAACGTAACTGCTGAATGCGGTTGACCAAATCGCCTAAATGCTGAAATATCTGCAAAACGATGGAAATTTTCAAAAACGAAACTTGTAAGTTCCATTTGTTAATTATTTTGTCATCAACATTGTCATTGATTCATTATTCCATTAGAGGTCTAAACTGTTTTTTAATTTAATTCAAACCATTGCGTTGGAGAGTAGCTAGGCTATCATAAAGTTAGCGTGGATGTGTCCAAACTCAAACAGACATTTTGCTGACCCACCAATACACACACATAGGAGCATCACTATCCTGGCTGTGTAGTAAAAGCTGTGCTTTTGATTCTCAACATTTCAAACACCACTGTACAAAACTCAACTAATTTCACTCAAAATCGGTACTTTAGTGACAATTGATACCACCTAAATAGCAGTAAAATACATTTTTTTAAACTTACTGATGTTTAATAAAAAGAATAATTTAAAAATTCAAATTGTAGATCAAGTCTAGTGTCAAACTTTGCTTACAGCTGCATCGACATGATTGTGTAGAGTCTATGCAATATTGTGTGGTGTGTGTATTTGTGTACGGGTCTAAAAATACCTTCCTAACAGTAACAGCAAGCATGCAGTGCTAGCCTAGAGGTCAATACGCATTAGCATCGACTCTCTATGCCTTGCTGGAGTGCCAATACAGACTAGAGGTCTACTACTACTGTACTAGATCTACACTTCTAGTTCTACGACGATACTCAGCTCAGCAGGATCCATAAGTCAGAATGTAGTGCTACATAGAGGCCTACGTGAACATACTGCAATAGAATGTCGCCCAACTTTATACACAGCCAGGTGAGTAACGCTGCTATGTTTTACGCGTGACGCAACGCCAACCACAGATCTAACTTTTCCATTAAGTTATCCTTATCTTCATTCTAGTCTACATCAAAAATATGAACAAGTGGGACCAAGGAAATATATCGAGACAGATATAGACTCTACCCACGATAACACAATATTACTCAAGAAATCCTCACCAGCGCCTTTACACAACTCTTAACAACTCTAATTGGAAATCATATTTTAGCTCAAGTTTATAAATGCATCAAAAATAAAGAACATCTGTCAATTTGTACCTTCCTTTTGATGTATCTATTGTCGTATTCTTCAACTCGAGTTCAAGAGTTCAACCAATGCCAATTCATTACAAATCTGCCGCCATCTGTTGTCAGATGGTTCTCCAGCGCATGCTAGATGCTAGTACATCCATGCATGCATGTTTCATGCTTTATTTGATGTAAATAGCAAAAGTTAATTTGTATTATTTAGATGTGAATGAAAAATCATATTCTATATAATAATATTAACATGCAGATTATTTTATGTATTGATTTTGTTATTGTTTGTGAAAAGCAATGGAGAAAATGAAATATCATTGGAGAGAAAGAAAGGAAAAAAAAATTGTCAAATGTGGTCTAGCGCTATCTTTTGTTTAAAACATTATAGGAATATCTTCAACACTCATTGCCATTGGTCTTTTCTGTTACAATATTTTAAAGTCGCAAACCGATGCAACTTTTAAGTTCTCAAAAGTTTAGTTTAGTTATTGCGTAGTATATTGTATGTAATGTTTATACCGTGTATACATGAATTACATAGGTTCACATTTAGTTTTTATTTAGAATAAACTTGTGATCAAATGAGTTTGTATTTCATATTCATCTGAGTTGTCCCGGGAGTTGTCCATAATGCATCCCATGAAAAAAAAAAAAGAGATTACATGGACAAAATATGAGGCAAATAGTTTTTTAAAATATTTTTTTTTAATGCCTTTTTATGTTCATGCCTTCCATATTTAGCATGTTTCATGCTTTATTTGATGTAAATAGTAAAAGTTCTGTATTATTTAGCTGTGAATGTAAAACCATATTCTATATAATAATATTAATTAAAATGCAGATTATTTTATGTATTGATTTTGTTATTGTTTGTTATTATAATTTTTGTTATTGTTTGTGAAAAGCAATGGAGAAAATAAAATATCATTGAAAAAAAAAAAACAAACATCCGCGACAGATTGATTGATTGATTGATTTTTATTCGACAAGCTTCCAACTAGGGGCGTAAATCCGGGGGGGGGGTGCATCCCCCCCCCCCTCTTAGGGAGGGGGAGGGGGATGGCCTGTACAAATATCCCCCCCCCCCCCTGAGATTAGAAAAAAAAAGGAAGAAGAAGAAGACAAAAAAATGTGATTGTTTCAATTTCAGCATAATGCATGAGAAATGAGTTATTTTTGTATGTATGTATAACTGTATAGCCTACACGTATTATGTCACGATCATTAAGAGTAGTTGCGCGACGTGCGCAAACAAGCACTTCATAAACTTCAGAATAATTTTTCGTTATATTTGCAAGGCATGATAGCCCAGACGTAAAGTGCAATCATATACAGTAGATGCCCGGCTTACCACCCCCCCTCCCCTTGCAATGGTTTGAAGATTATTTGTGTAAACGATCACAGTTTATACAATATAAAGACAAAATGTCTTTGAAATTGAATATAACATGTGGTGTCCCTCAAGGCTCCGTTCTTGGACCAAACATTATTTTTTACTATATATATATATATATATATATATATATATATATATATATATATATATATAAATGACTTACCTAACTCCACAAACTTTTTCAATTTCAGATTATTTGCTGATGACTCAAATCTTTTTCATACTTTTAATCCTAGACAAAAAGAAATTGATTTAGAAATTGTAAGTGAAAATTTAATGAAGGTGCAGGAATGGTGTAATGCAAATGAAGTCACAATTAACCTACAGAAAACAAACTATATGATTATGAAATCCAAAGGTAGATCAATAGACAAAAAAGTATCTGTGAGTATATCAAGATCAGATATTAAAGAGGTATCTGTTGCATCATTTGTAGGAATTGAAATTGATTGTCATCTTTCATGGAAAGAACAAATTCAGACAATAAACAAATTAAGAAAGAAAGTAGGTATTCTGTTTAAACTTAGACATTTTGTTCCAAAGAATATTCTTGTGTTATTATATAAGGCTTTTATACAGCCTCACCTCTCTTATGGAGTAGAAGTATGGGGAGCACTTACAAAAGTAATCTAGATTGTATATATTTAAGTAAAAAAATGGCAATGAGAGCAATTACATTCAGTCCACTTAGGACAGACTCCAAAGCTCCTTTTCAAAGTCTAAACATTTTAAATATTTTTCAACTTCATGAACTTCTTGTATCAACATTTATGAACGATTTGGTAAAAAGTTTTTTACCACACTCTTTAGTGGATTATTGTCAGATGATACAGCACAGATATGCAACTAGGAGAAAAGAAAGTGGCTTACTCTATCAACCAAAATGTTAGACAACGCAAGGGCAATTTTGTTTTTCATTTGTAGGAACAAAGCTGTGGAATGATCTCCCAGATGAAATTAGATTAAAAACATCGAGGTTATCTTTTCGGAGACTTCTTTCCACCTACCTTCTATGTAAATGACGTGGGCTCAATCCCATCCCCCTTCGTTTTTTTCCTTTTATATTACTTGTCTTCCTTTTATACATGTATGCACTTCCTTGTTAACGATTATAGCGGCCTTAAGCTTTTACAGGATTTGTGCATGTACGTACATGTGTATGATTATTTTTATTAAGACATCCTTTTCATTTTTATGAACACATTGATGATTTTTATTTCTGCAAAGATTTGTTTTCTTTCATTATAATGCTTTAACGCTTAAGCTTTTTTATTTTTATTTTTTCATTTTAGTAAAGAAAAAAAGTTACATGATAATGTATTATTTTGTTGTATATATGTAAATACAAAACAAACAAGTTTTACATTCATATGTAAAAACAAATTAACAGAAACAAATCTTGCCAAAGAATGGAACTAGGCTCGACTAGCACTTGTGCTAACTTCTAGTTCCCATTAACAACTTCACCTAAACATAGTAATATACATATTTACGTATATATCTTTTGTACATTTAATAGTATGCAGATGTATGTCTAAAAAATATCGTTTTAAAACCATTACTGTTCAATCGACATTACTCTTATGTTATGTATACATGTATCAGTATTATTTTTTGCATTGTATGATTGTTCATATGTACTGTCATTATTGTGATGTGTTGTTGTTAATAAATTCAAATTCAAATTCAAATTCAAATTCAGAAGACAATAGTGGTGTCTTTGTTTGGTTTGAGTACTCCTTCTCCTTTCCATCTGGTTTCGCTTAGTCCAACTATGTTTAATTTCATACTCTTTAGTTCCTTTATCAGTAGTTCCAGTTTTCCTAGCTGGTTCATTGTTCTCACATTCCAGGTGCCTAAACGTACGTAGTACTTGCTTCTTCTTGCATAGGTTAACAACAGACGGGGTTGACGTCCTGCCATCAGATGATATCCTTTCCGAGGCGGAGTTTGGGGTACCACCGTCATGGGCATATCTTGCCGCTGTCGCCTCCTCTTCCCCAGTAGCATTACGGGTGGGCACCCTGGGGGTCTCAACTTCCACCTGAAAAGGCTCGTTTCTCTTATTCAATCTGTGCATCATGTGGTATTCTCGGGAAGATTTACGACAGTGGGTTCCCGTTACCTTCTGCCTCACCCTGGTCTGTTCGTCCCCATTGAAATCAATGGGTTAACAACCCCCACCACGAGAAGGTAGACCAGGATGCTTGCCTAGTCTCACACGTGGTTGACCCCTCACTTAGCATGCTATTTCTACATGCATGAAGCTACCAGGGCCAGTCTCCTCCTTGTATGGTCCATCACCAACAACAGTGATAAGAGACACAGGCTTATAGGGGCCATAAAGGAAACATAAATAAATTGAAATTGAAAAAGACTAGCGGCCTATACTTGTGGGAGGCTAACTGCAGTCTCCGCCTCTCCCCTTCTCCTTTAAGATAATTTTAAAAAGGAATAGGAAAAATGGAAAAGAGACAATCTAAAGCAAAACAAAAGAAGGAAGATTAAGAGAAGGGCCTCCATCCTAAGCCTTTCACCGTCAGGGGCAGGGGTGGCGCCAGGTTATTTTGTTAGAGGGCGGCGAATAAGCACACCAGCGCCATCGTCGAGCTGGCGCGACGCAGGGGTTGTTGAAGTGGAAGTTTTGAAGTCAGGAAGTTGAAGATTTGTTTAAAGTTCAGCTAACAAGAACGAGCTTAAATGTAGACTGGCTTACCTTTAGAGATGGGAAATGCTAATCACAGCATCACAAACATGCACTACTTTTGATTTTCTTCTGTCAAAAGGAACTCCAATTTACGGGGATGTTTCCGGGCAAATGCGTCAATCACTTTGTTTATATTCATATTATGAATATCTCTGTTTAAATCAGAAATGAAGGCAGACAGACGTTCCTTTCCTTTTCCTTCTCATTTTCCTCTTCCTCCTTCTCTTCCTCTTCCTTCTTTTTGAAAATGATAGGGTGCCCCCCTGACCCCCTCTTGTGGTACCGCCCCTTGTCAAGAGACATATATGTCTCATGTTATTCCCCCTCTCTCTCTCTGTCTTTCTCTCTTTCTCTCCCCTCTCTCTCTCTTCCTCTCCCCCCCCTCTCTCTCTCTTCCTCTCCCCCTCTCTCTCTCTCTATCGTTCTCTCTCTCTATCGTTCTCTCTCTCTCTCTTTCTCTCCCCTCTCTCTCTCTCTCTCTATCCTCTCTGTCTTTCTCTTTCTTTCTCTCTTTCTCCGCCCTCTCTCTCTCTCCCTCTCTCTCTCTCTCTCTCTCTCTCTCTCTCTCTCTCTCTCTCTCATCAGTCTTTCAGTTCCAGAACAATATTAGAAAGGATCGAGACAAAATAGTTTCGCACTCTTCGTACTGAAAAGAAACATCAACGTTTTCTTGTATACTCTCCCATTCTCTACGGAAGTCGGGAGAAATATAATATTGTCGTTTACCATTTAAAATGGGTGAGCCATTCTCATTCCGATATGAAGGCAGAGTTCATAAAGAATGAAACTCTTGTAGTACATGCGTTGTTTAATGTAAACTCAAAGTTTGTTCATATGAGAGAAAGTGGTGCTAAGGTAGTGACTTCAATGCAAGATGTACTTAAAGATAATCTGAAAATTTGAGTGAAAACGGACCATAATGCTAAAAATTTGGAAAAACTGATCTGATAGATTCCTCAACTCTCCCAACTATATTATTACAATTTATTTACATTTTAGGTGAATGTAAATCGTCACAAAGCAATAAATCAGCTCTAAATACCATTCCAGACATTTAAGTGTTCATACATTTTTGATAGCCTGTTTTTTGTTTGTTTTTCATGGAAAACGTTTGGGAAAATTCAAAAATGGTTGGGAGAATTTACTGTTAATCACTGTTAGAGGGTGTTGCATAGTGACGCCTTCAAAGAAAACCATAGATATCTTTCAGTGGTTTAAGATTTTTTTTTCCAGGATTTTTTGCATGTTAGAGGATTAGTACAGTAAAAGGAATATAATAGATTACATTTTATGCAAAAATTTAGCAATTTTTCATCAACCTTTAACAATGTTACGGAGTCACTTTAATGCATTTTTACCGAACATTCGTTTTTACGTAAGTCCATGCGCGCGCAATAATTATTTGGTAGAGGGCTAGGTTGTTTTATTGGATCAAGTTGACACGGGATGTGACGTCACGATCATGTCAAGAAAATCTACGAAAAGGCATTACGTAGATCATGTAAGGTTGGTTTTGTTACATTTAAGAGGTACATTTTTCATAAACGTATCTTTCTCAACATTCAGACCCCATGTTTTCTTTTAACCAATTTCTCTCTCTCTCTCTCTCTCTCTCAACATCAACCTTATCCGATCGGGATCAACTCCCTGCTAATCACTTGCTATCTCAAATTACAGTCACCAAACAGAATTTATCTCGAAAGTTATAATAAGCTATGTATTTGTTATTATAAACCATTATATAAATATATATTTATTCTTGTACATCAAAATAGCGTAGCGAGTTCTCCCATTTTGAAACAATATACATCTATAAGCATAAAGGCATAAAGGCATAATCCAATGTAAGTGATTAAAATTATTGATACCAAAGATTAATACGTAATTACTATATACACAATAAAAGTTTAATATGCATATCAAATTAATGCATTTTGGCTAAAAGGTTATACGTCAAAAATATCTAATGCTTGAGATATATGATGTGAATATTATTTCCTAAACTCCTGAATCATCTTTTTGTTATTTTTTCTTTTTCTTTTTTTCTTTTATCGTTCTCTTTTTCTTCCTCGTCGTCTCCTCGGTCCTATCATTCAACTATTGTTTTCGTTCTCTTCCTCCTCTTCTTCTTCTTTTTCCTTCTTCTTGTCCTCCTTCTCCTCCCCTGCCTCCTTTCTCTTCTTCTTCTTCTTCTTCTTCTTCTTCTTCTTCTTCTTCTTCATCTTCTTCTTCTTCTTCTTCTTCTTCTTCTTCTTCTTCTTCTTCATCTTTTTCTTTTTCTTCTTCTTCTTCTTCTTCTTCTTCTTCTTCTTCTTCTTCTTCTTCCTTCCTTCCACCTCCTCCCTCTCCCTCTCTGATCATCACATTTCTTCTTATCCTGTATTATCTAAAGTATATACATCTTGCTTTATATTTAAAATATATATGTTCCTGTTACCAAGGACTCCAGTATCCTTTTTTTAATATTTGTATAATAGTTATTTATTATTAGTTCATTGTTCTGGTTAGTTGAGCAGAGACAGATTGTTACAAGATACAACTTCAATAGATTGTTATACATGTACTTATTTTAATCTTACAGTTACAAGTACAGCTTAGAGTTAGATTGTTATGCTGTTACCAACCTTACAGATGCAGGTTACATGTTACTCTTAGAGTTTAGATTGTTTGTACGTAGTATAGTTTAGTTATACTCTTTGTAAGATTCTTATCCTGTATTATCTAAAGTATATACATCTTGCTTTATATTTAAAATATATATGTTCCTGTTACCAAGGACTCCAGTATCCTTTTTTTAATATTTGTATAATAGTTATTTATTATTAGTTCATTGTTCTGGTTAGTTGAGCAGAGACAGATTGTTACAAGATACAACTTCAATAGATTGTTATACATGTACTTATTTTAATCTTACAGTTACAAGTACAGCTTAGAGTTAGATTGTTATGCTGTTACCAACCTTACAGATGCAGGTTACATGTTACTCTTAGAGTTTAGATTGTTTGTACGTAGTATAGTTTAGTTATACTCTTTGTAAGATTTGTTGTTATTATACTCATCATGTTTATACTCCCTGTATATCTATGTAACATGTTATATGGACCTCTGCCTTGTGTAGATGAGTCTGAAATAAAGTTCTGAATTGAATTGATATAGTTCAGAAATAAAGCAATGGTATTTACAGCGGAGGAAGTCATACATACACAGTTAAAATTTTAGTGAACATGTTGTTTAAAAGTTTAAACAACTTTGGATTAACGGGTGACCTGATCTAAGAGCTGTTTAAAATGTTAAGCAACTCGAGTTGTTTAAAGTTTAAACACTTTGAGGCTGTTCACACCGGCAGAGATAGCGCGGTCTAGCGCGCGCTCTATCGCGCGCTAGGCCGCGCTATCTCTCGTGGACCACCCCCAAGAGGTGCTCCAGTACTGGCACGCCGTTTTGGCTCGCCGTGGCTCGCTGTTGGGCGGACCGAAACGACGTTGTACCTTCCACACCGCAGAGATAGCGCGCGCTAGACCGCGCTATCTCTGCGGTTTGGAAGGTACAACGTCGTTTCGGTCCGCCCAACAGCGAGCCACGGCGAGCCAAAACGGCGTGCCACTGGAGCACCCCTTGGGGGTGGTCCACGAGAGATAGCGCGGTCTAGCGCGCGCTAGAAAAAAGGGGGTGCTACGATAGACCGCGCTATCTCATTGCGGTGTGAACAGCCTCCTAGTTGATCAACATTTTGAACAACTTGTTTAAAATCACAATTTAAACAACCGGTGTTGTTTAAAGACGGTTGTTTAAAACGGAGCTGTTGTTCAGTGCATGGGGGTTGTTTACACCAACTGGGTTGTTGAAAGAAAGTTGTTTAAAACGGAGCTGTTGTTCAGTGGGGCTTGTTTACACCAACTGGGTTGTTTAAAGAAAGTTGTTTAATAAGGAGCTGTTGTTCAGTGGGGGTTGTTTACACCAACTGGGTTGTTTAAAGAAAGTTGTTTAAAAAGGAGCTGTTGTTAAATAATAATAATACTATTGGATTCTTATATAGCGCACGTACCGACCTTGCAAGGTCCTCAAGGCGCTCCAACATTACCCGGCTATGCTAGGCTGCCAAAGGACATTAGTGCCGCGGCGGGACTCGAACCGTGGACCTTGTGATCGACAGTCCGGCGACGTTTCCACTCATCCACGATACCTCTACAGCTTGGTCGGCCATGATGTGAAACAAAGGTTTTAGCCAACGCGCACTTTACTGGCACGTGACACATGACGTCATATGTAAACAACACTGTCTAAAAGCTCTCGTGTAGTAAATATAGCAGTCATTAAATTTTAAACAGCGAATGTTTAACAAAATTGCTTTCGTTTCGAGCAACATTGTTTACAATTTGTTCAACTGTTGTTTAAGATAGTGTACAACTGTAAGTGAACATCACTTTTTTTAAGCAGCGTTTTTACTGTGTAAGACTAAGTATCTAGAATTAAAAAATTATGCCTCAGTTATATTTCAACCTCGGAGGCCTCGCTGGAACCAGAAACTTAACAGCACTCGGAACATTCTACATAGGCCGCTGAACTCTAGATAGTGCATGCGAGACTAATATTTTGCATGCTATATTATCCGCAATGCTGGCTGGATAAAATGATAATCTAGAATACCAACGAGGTGACAGATTAACTTTTCCCGACTTTGGAGAAGATGTCAATGTTCAAGTCTACATGATCCGCGATTGTTAGGAAATCATTTTTATGATTCTCATTTTGTATGAACGAAAAATAAAGGAATGTAAAAAGAAATCCCTTGTTAAATACTGGTTTGATCAACAAAGAGAAAGACATTTCTATTAAAGATAGACCCTACTATATTGCATGCTCGTGCCTACTGTATGGTGTACCTTAATATTGATGAGGTATGATCCGCACTTTACAGTACAGCACTAATTATAATGATTGTGCATTGAATTTTTGGTTTTAGTAAATACCCATATAGACTTATTCGACCCTAGGTTCTTATGATTGTCAAAAAGGCAGGACAAAACATTTGCTATAAACAGTCTCAATTACATCGTTCTTCAAGAATCATCAGCAATCCAAGTCATGTTCGTAGCCTGATTGACATGATTTAAGATCTCTCCTCTTCCAATTTCATATCGTTTTTCTCGAGGTTGTCGTACTGATCACCCTTCCTTTTTTTGTTCTGAAAGAAACAAATGTTTAAACAAAAATACTATGAATCATCGAGAATATTAATGTTGATGATTACAGGCCTTATTGAAAGAAAGTTCACTGTGGTATTTAAGACACATGCATCTTCCATCCGATAGTCCCTGCTTGTGATTTAGTTTCTCTTGGAAACAAAGAATGATTACTATTTGAAAGCAGGATGACCACTTATCGAGGACTATTCCTCCTGTACTGTACCGGATCTGTCACTGCTTTAACCCTGAATCGTTTTAATCTGCTGGATGTTCTGTACCAAACAAAAAAAGAAAACTTGACGTAAAATATCTCCCAAGCTGCCAAAAATTTAATGTAACGAAGTGCTAAAGCAACGGACTGATGTACGGGATATAGAAATATAGAATCCGCCATGCATGCATGTAAATACACAACCATTCCGTACAGTCAATCCACGTACAGCTTTACCACCAATGCGAGATAAGAACGGTTTTGGCAGCTAAAGGTTTATAAACTTCTAAACATTTATATTTGGCTTTCTCTAACTAGAATCGCCCTTTAGTTTTCCAACTGTTTTTAACCCATTGGTCGATATAGGGAGTTACAGCCAGTTCGTGCCCCCCTCACACCTTAAAGAATAAATAATAATAATAATATAATAACTCTTATTTACCCAGGGTAGCCACTTCAGTTATGAAACTGTTCTTCCAGCGGGCCCTGCATAACATAATATGTTATTACTACCCTTCTCCAATCTAAAGAAAACAAATCCCATACCCTATGAGCGCCGAACAACCCATCAAAGTGAAAGTCAATCCTAGCTTTAAATTGATTTTATTAGAAGCAGAAAAATGAGCGGAATAGGTCAGTGAAAGTTTGAGCAAATTCCTATTAAGAATAATAAACTTGGGGGGGGGGGGGGTTATGGTACCCTTCATTAACAAAATCCCGGGCCCCGTTGCATAAAACTTACCATTGGTGGTAACTTTGCCATCAATGGCAACTACTACCATGGTAACAGGGCTCAACAGCCAATCAACATCAAGGTTTCCATGGTAGTTACCATATATTGATGGCAAAGATACCATCAATGGTAAGTTTTATGCAACGGGGCCCTGGTCCCGCCCTTTATTCTTACCAGTAGCTTTTCCTTGATCGAGAAAAACATACAGATTACAGCGAGAACTGCCACGCCCTGGAGTACCATGGCGTTACCAAAGTAGGCAAACCTATAGCGTTTGTTGTCATACAGCCAGCAGGAACCCCTCCCTCCGTCCGATGTCCTCTGCCAATGTATGCACACTGAATTGATAATGCTGCCGAAATAGATTGGGGCAGGGATGAAACCTGTGTGGATACGAGACGAAGACATTACACTGTGAAAAACAAAAAATACTAAGATAAAGAATTGCGCAATTGGTCTGTCCAAACAAGGTTTGGGTAATCAAGAAGTCAAACTCCGATGATTTTTGCTCAATTTGTAATGAATTGGTAGCTCTTACATTTACCTTGGCATGGTTTCTACAAGTTAATGAATCTTTTATAAAATCAGAACGAATGCAGCAAGGGACCGAAAGTGTGTGAGAGACAAAGGGAGAAGAACCTTAAAAAGAAAGAAAGAAATATACGAAGAAAGAGATGGGTGAATGAGGGGGGGGGGGGTATTAATTATTGAGAGAGGGGAGAGATACAGAGAAAGAGAGAGCGGGGGGGGGGGGGCTAGTTAACCAATTGTCTTCCACATCTACTTACCGAGGAAATGTGCAGATACTGATCTTAAAGCTATTGCTATCGATCTATCCTCCTCTCTGACACATCTAAAAAGTGAAGAAGAAAAAAGATAAAACTTTATCCTCTTCGAATAAAAAGGTGAAAACATTTGACATAAAGGCCAGTGTCGGGTTTTAGTTGAATATTTATCATTTGTCAACAGTTACTATGTTATACCTTTTGTATCTAGGATCTAGAATTATCACGACATCCAACCGGCCTAGCACCCCTCCCCCCCCCCCACCCCCGCCCCCTATATATCCGCTTAAAAAATATGCATGTCATGTTCCCACCAAGATGATGATAAGAAATGGTCAAGCAATTACATTGGAAAAGATACTGGATTGAAGCAGTCGGCAAAATGTTTTTTTTTTACAGAGTAAGTACAGAGTAATCGATGAATTATATGAGGTTTTAGATTCATCAAAATGACAAGAAATTTACTCACTCTTTCTGAAAATGACGTGCACTGCACACAACATTGGATATGATAAACACGTGTGGCATGAAAGCTTTTTCAAAACATTTGTAGATACTATTCGTCAAATTTAACAATTATTTAAAGAGAACGGTTCTATTTGATACTTGTTCCCAATTAATATTTAAATAATGAGAAGAGAAGGTCCACAAAATATTTTGATCTTTATGAATCGTCTCATCAAACTTACCGTAGAGCGACAAAGGTCATCGGGTTGGATGTGGCCGACTGAAGAAAGAAAATCGCTGTGATCAAGATCGCCACAGGGATGGCCCCCTGACAGCTGGGGTCGGGGCACTGTCCCGATGAAGCATCAACATCATCTGACGTTGACGAGCCGAAGAGATTCGTTGTCGAGCTGTTGGTCATACTACTGGAATTGCTGATGCAGCTACATCCTCTATAATCGTATTGGTTGGACTGAAACGATGAGGGTGATAAACACGAAAATAATAATATGATTATAGTTTAATGTTATTTACCCAGGCTAATACTATTACTCTTCTAGCTGTGGGCCCTGTGATTATTATTATACCTCCACAAACAAAACACCTTGGTCGAAAGTTACAACGTTGGGCAAAACATACTGTCCAATAACCGTCATCTAAAATATTGTTTGTATTCATATAGGGGTCGTCACAATATCCAAAACGGAGCCCGCCCGACTTCTCTGAGAGCTCAAATAGGGCTTTTTCGGCAGAAATATGGACGGTGTCCGCTCAATCACTACGGGCTCCGACGTAGGTCGCCCATAGATTGCGGGGCATCGGCAAAATATTCGACGATTTTTGGCTTTAGAATTCGGACAGATTTCGGCAGAGCTGCACGGCCGCCACACGGGCTCCCTACAATACTCAAACGACCCCCCCCCCCTCCCCCTCCCCCCTCCCCCCACTTCGTGAACGGAGGGATACCATGCGTGTTCCCAAACTCTCCGGCTCGTAACAAAAGAAAAAGGTCTACCCGTATTGACTTTACACACCGGACTTTTGCTGAAAAAGGGGGGGGGGGGGGGGTCGCTGGGAACACGCATATGCGTACCCTAAATAACACTAGGGCACTTTAGCAACTAGACGGTACGCACAGGAGACGGTAACGCTAGCGAAAAAAAACAAACTGTGCATGCGCGAACCTGAAATCTCTCCGTCCCGTCGATTTTCGGAACGGTACTCGGCCAACATAGCGTTCGTTCCCTAAACACGACATAAGAGAGAGAGCTGACAAATAATTTGTATCTAGATCTAACAATGCAGGGCACTACTGTGACTACTGAAGATAATAACAGGGAATCTACTCGTGTTTCCAATGTCTGTTCGGTATCTATACCTCAATCTACAATAAATTGATGGTTTGGCCGTTTAGGCCTACTCTGGGGGCTCTTTTTCATCGTTATGCATGACGTGCCTGCACGCTGCGCACTACAGCCCACCGCCGGGTCCATTGCCCCTGGCGCTCCGGCCAAGCCTCAAGGCCCTAGAGCACAAGCACCAACAGGCAGCAGGTGTGCAGTTCAGCGCGGGGATTAAATACGGACTTTGCGTCCCCGTCGCCTTTAGCAGAAAGCGAAAGCGCTTGAATATCACGACGGTACAAGAGTGCGAGACCCGTACGTCACAGTTGGTTAAAAACTCCGTCTCCTGTGCTTTCCGTCTCGTTGCTAAAGCGCCCTACTGAGTGGGGGGGGGGGGGGGGGGTGAGGGGGCCGGGGAACGACCCCCTTCCATGTCCCGCCCGACTTGTAGGCCTACAATGTCAGGCGTGCTCTGAGCGCGCTCCGTGCTTGTGTAGGCCCGCCGCGGCGCGCCGCGGCGTGCCGTCGGTCGACTTCTACGGGCCCCGGCTGGGCTCCTCCTGTGATTTCAGGAATTTGGCCCCTGGGGTATATTATATCCCCTGTATTTTGAGATTCGCCCGACTCCCGGTTGTTTACTGACGGACGCCGGGTGACTTCTGATCACTAGTTTTCAAAGGGCACCTCCCGAGCCCCGTCCAATATGTGACAGGGTAGATTTTAAGAGAACGATACGCTCAACTCCCTGGCGGGTTTGACATTCGGCGACTTTCTGGCGAACCACAAAGTCGGCCGGAGACCGTTGGGTATGTGACGCGCATGCATAATACAGGATAAGCTGTAAATACTTACGAACGGATTAAGAATGGTTGTCGTGTCATTGTAAGGTGAAACCTCCTGGTTACATCCTGCATGACATGGTGAAATAAAGGTCAAACCGTTTGACCCACAGACTGGTTGAAAGATTTCATCTGAGCATGCGCAGTGCATGTTACATCCGTCGCTGAAATATAGCAACATTAGTGGAAAGAGAATAAGATATTTAGTGGATTGCGGTTCCATACTCAGTACGCAATTGTCGGAAAACCACGGTAAAACATGCATGGCACATTTTGAGCAATGCATATATATTTATATATGCACATATATAGAAATAAGTCAGTTTGGCCTATAAGTAAAGAAGAAATAACAAAACAAATAGGAGATCCAAAATATACGAATTTTCGGCTCCAAGCCTTTGTCAAGTATATACAATGATAACATTATTGAAACCAGTGTTCTTCAAAACTTGAAATGAGGTGCAACTGTTACGACGTGCGCTCAGTTCAGAAAACAAAGATGATAAGTTTGTTAGAAAAATGGGGGGGGGGGGGGGAAGAGTGGGAATATGCGAAAGAAAATATGCACGAGAATGACAAAACAAAAAAAAGGACAAGAAATTCTTAGAAAAAGAAAAGGAGAACAGAAACAATGAGCGTGAGAGAAGAGAAAAAAGGGGAGGGGGTCGAAACTAGAAAGAAAGAAAGAAGAAAAAGACAAATAGCAAATGATGGGAAAAGAGTGGAATGAAACGTTCATCCCACGAGGTTGGAGACAGCCGAGAAAGTGAATAAGGCGTTCCTCGATCTATTCCCCTTATGGCAGCACCCTATTGGAGGACGCTCACTTGGAAGTCACTCTTCATGAGTAAAAAGGTTACCTTTTAGAATATGACGAAAGCATTTGTGATAGAAATTGCCATAAAGTATGCCCTCACGGTAACCAAGTTGTGGTAGGAATACTCCCAGGGAGTGGAATTGTGCACACTACGACTTGTGAGTAAATGAATCCGATAACCAGGGTAATAAAGATATCTGTAAAGTGCTTAGAGGCGGTATTCCGTTTTAAGCGCTACATACATCCATATTTATCATTATTATTATTATTATTATTATTATCATTGTTGTTGTTGTTGTTGTTGTTATTATTATTATTTTTGTTATAATTATTTTGTCGATCTGTTTAACTTACCTGATCGGATTAGTGTCGGATGGAGTCGTCAGTCCATCATAGGAGGTCGTCACACCAGCAACAGGAACATTATTACACCCCAGTAACATACCCATGGGGTACAGGACGAATCCAATGATGCCACATACCAGTACGAAGAGACCACACTGCTTAGAGTTGAATTTAAATCGTCGACAAATGTAGGCAGAGAAGATGTTACTGATGATATTTGATGGACCAAGAACTATGGCTGAAAGAGTTTTAAGAGAAGGCACGAAAGGATAAACCAATTGCATTTTTATAGCAAACAGAGAATTTGTTACTTTTGGTATTCGACTATTTTTGAAAGAGTTTTAAGAGAAGGCACGAAAGGATTTTCTAATTGCATCTTTAGCGAACAAAGAATTTGTTACTGTTGGTACTCGACTATTTTCGAAAGAGTTTAAGAGAAGGCACGAAAGGATAAACCACTTGCATCTTTGGCAAACAAAGAAGTAAAGATGTTACTGAATGATGGTATTCGACTGAAATTTTTCGACAGACCAAGACCAGTGGCTGCAAATGGTTTATTAAAGAGGCAGTACTAGTAAGAGACAAACCAATTGAACCTGTCAGATGATAACATTAGGATCCAGAGCATATAGCACTGAGTTCCTATAGGACATATATTTATTCAGATGGTCATATCTCAGCCAATACTTAACATATTCAATTGGTTTTTCGACCTTTGGACATTATTTTTGATGCTCTTTTGGAAAATGAAGAAAAAAAAATTGAGAAATTCTAAAAATAGATTTTTGATGACGTCACACTTCACCACTCTATAGCTCTTTCATGCCATTTACCCCCCCCCCCTGCCCCTCCCCTCCCCCTTTATTAATGTTTGTCTTTTTTTCCTTCAAAAAGACAAAGACATTCCTTTTCCTTCGGTATGGGTAATATTTGGGTACTGTCTGTAATTTAAGTAATCAATTGTCAATTCTTACAGACATGAGCGCTATAATTAAAAGAAAACCCACTATAATTATAATTCCAAACCTCACCTATAACTAGTGCTGCTTGTGACGGACTGAGTGAGAACTGCGTTTCGATGTACTTCACCCCAAAGGCTGCGAAGATGGCGATGATGGATATGAAGGCTGTTTCATCGACAACAAGACACATGTTGGTAGGATTGCAGACGATACGTTTCAAAGCAAGGATGGGTCCTAATTGCGAAGTTAGAATGCAAATAAAGACATATACTAGTCATTCCTTTAGAAAGCAAACTTGTATATTTGTAAATTGGTTAAAAAAAATATTTCAAATTAGATTTCAGCAAACATCTTGAGTTCGTAGAATAAGTTTTATTTGGTTACTTTTGTTAGGTATCCGATGAAGCTTCTGCATCTAATATCGAATCTTCAAAATGCAACATATAAAATGTAAAGGGAAAATGTCCGCAGCATTCCTTTAGATAGTGCTTGATGATTGATTTTTATTTGACAAGCTTCTAACATACAACAATATACAAGAATAACAGATCAAAATTAAGTCAGCTTGAACAGGATAACAAGGTAGCAACTTGAGACACAGACAGGGGGACTAATCAAATATGTTCTTTGCTTTAGCATATTAGAGTCAACAGCGCAGTAGCCATATGGGGTGGGGCATCACATTTTACTAACTCTCTGACGATCGATACGTAAAGTACAAGTAATACATCAAATATATGAAAGCATCCATAAATAGACGTTTTATTTCCATATATGTGATTCCCTGTTGCACAACTAGGATTGTGCGCGTCATGTCTGCAGTACTCTGTCGATAGGTACAAAACAGTTATGTTTCTTTCTTTTGTTTTGACATTTAATTGTTTGTTTTAGCGATAGTGAAGGGATTGTCATTGACCCTGACAGTTTGAGATCCTACACCCCTGCTGGAAAGAACACACTCATTCACACTCATTCCCAGTGTGAATCACAGTGTAAATCACAGTGTGAAATCACAGTTCACATTGTGAACACAGTGTGAAACACGGTGTGATTCACATTGTGAATGAGTGTGAATGAGTGTGTTCTTTCCTTTACCGGTTATCCATACTGTGAACCACAGTGTGAAACGAATCGACCACAATGTGAAAACGCCCCAATTTAACATTGTGGAGCACACTGTGATTCACAGTGTGAAACACAGTGTGATTCACACTGTGAATGAGTGTGAATGAGTATGTTCTTTCCAGCAGGGACACTCACTCCTTCCGTACCTTTGATGACCTTTTCAACGACGATGCCACCATCAAGATGTGCGTATATCGACCCACGTCTCTCCCTCAAATCATTGTCCTCCTCCTCCTCATCTGCATCCATCGCCACCACAGGCGGTCTATTCAACTGCTTCCCTTCCTCCGTCTCGGCCTCTTCCTTCTCTTCCTTCCACTTCCTGATCGCCGAGGGCATCGTCCGCGGGTAGAAGAAGATTGGAATACTCAAGAAGACCATGATGGTGCTCAGAATGACGAAGCCCAGCCACCACGCCCCAATCCAGCGAGGATCGTTTTGGCTGATCATGGGAATCTGGTCGCTCGGCACACGATCGAAGTCGACGTATAGGGTCGTTGTGAAAGCAGCGAAGAGAAAGCCGCCGCTGGGACCAAAGGTAAACGCCAAGAACAGAACAGCTGTCAAAAATAGGAGGAAAAACTTTCTTACTAAAAATGTTTCCTTAATTGAGTTCAAATAAAAGACCGTAGGCAATTCTAAAGGATGATGTTTTTAAAAAAATTGTAAAAGCGCGGTAACCAATAAATATTTTCACCTATTTTACCTGATAAAAGTGGTCTAGATCGAGCTCTAGTTCTTTAAGGTATTGATAAACCACAAAAGATAGTTGCTTCGGCCTACTGTGAAACAGGTTTTCCCCTGTAAGAGTTAAGCCTTCAAGTTCACATTCGCAACGACTTTCAAAAATCAACCTGAGGAAATGTCAATAGCCATGTCAATCACCTATTCTTTTCAATATTCGAACATTGCAATGACGATTATATATACGTAATCCAAACCTGATGGTAAGGTCTTTGCCACCGTGACAAAATACAACACACTCAGGCCTAAAAAAGAATGTTGTATTGCCCTTTGCAGCCGACCCCAAAAGCTTGAAATCCACGGTCGGCTTTTTAGAAAAGTTTCTTTCTTTTTCTTACCGTTTTATAGAGAGAGAAAAATGAAGGCATTTTTTAAACCGAGAAATATCAGCCCAAAGAAAGAAAAAGTTTTAAAAAAGAAAAAAAAGATTTCCGACCGATCGACCCATATTTTGGCACCTAAAGGACAATACAACATCTTTTTGGTTTGAAGGTATCAACCGTGACCCTAGAGTGGAGTAGCTATACGGGTGCATGGGAGCACGTGTCCCTAATCAGTTGGTAAAAAACAAACTGAGGATCGAGAGAGAGTAAGACACTACATCACAATGGTCACTGATCTTTAATTCGTAAAAATATGATAACGAAATGATAAATGTATAAAGAAACAGTACCCCCTGACTCTCAGCAAACAATAAATAAGAAAACAATAGTAGTACTGAAATATTTCGCAAGGTAGCTTAATTGATTTGCATCCCTTTTTGGCTACATCATTCATACAAAACTGTCTTTTTATTACATGTATGATACGACAAGGCTCCATTAACATTTTCTGCGGACTTGTTTTTGTCAAAGATATGGGATTAGGGTTAGTGTTAGGGTTGCGATTTGAGTTTTACGCCAGGCGAATGACGCTTCGTGTGCAACGGCCTTTACCTGTATAAGCAGTGAGATCGTGCTTCGTGACGCTGTCATCGATGTACGTAATGACAAGAGCGACGAAAGGGGCGTTCCCAATACCACTTATGAGCTGACCAAGAATGATCCACCAAACAGTCCGAAGATCCCCCTTCGATGACCCTTGGTGGAGGTCACCTAAAGTGGACAAAAAGAAGAATATTTAACAATTTGTTTTGGTGTCGTGTCATTACATTAGGTGTCGTGGTATAGTGGTTAATATTCACTTGACTCTCAATTCAAGAGTTGAGGGTTCGAATCCCAGCCCGGCCCCAAAGTCCTTTGGTAAGACATCAATCCACTTTTGCCACTCTCCACTCGGGTGTTAAATAGGAAGGATGCGAGAAGTATTGTACTCTCTTTTAAAAAAGAGTGAATTTTCACTCTATTTTCACTTTCTTGGGAGTGACGCCCGTGATCACTTGTTTAGGAGTGAAAATCGATTGATTTTAGAGTGCTCTCTAAGAAGAAAAGAGTGAATGTTCACTCTATTTTCACTACATTTTCACTCTCCAGAGGAGTGACGTCCGTGATCACTCGATTTTTTTTTAGAGAGTAGTTTGCTCGGCACTGCGAGTCTGTATAATTTGCGCCTGCCTGGGGTGCCCCCCCCCCCAGGGAGTGGAGAATGTGAATGCAATGTGTTTGGGCAAGCTTGAATCCAATGACCGGGATAATGATATATCCGTAAAGAGATTAAATCGATTTGTAAACCCTGATTGTAATAATCCTCTATTTCAGAGCCGATCAGCACGTTCGTTCGCTGGCGTGCCAGGAATGAATGACCATCACCACAAATAATAAGCACCGTTTTTTAAACAGCAGAATTGCATCAGTCAAAATCATCGTTTAATTTGTTCCGTCTAAGTTGACTATAATGATGACCCTCTTGTCATTTTTTAATTCTTAGTCTTACACACTATGTTTAGTTTTTTGATTAATCTCAAAACCTTTGGTAAACCCCACTTACGAGATAATAAGAACAGGGATATCATTTGAGTTGCATATGATAGTATGACGAATATCTTACATACCCATGTATACGTTTCCATAGTGCCTCGGACATTTCCACATATAAGCCCGGCTACAGATCCGGCAATCCGTATATGGCTCAATGGTTCAATTTAATATATTACTCGATCAACATTACAAAAAAACATGGCAGTAATATAAACAGTGTCAAATTAGGTGATTTTAAGGAAGAAACATGGAAAATGTGAGTAAATTACTTTGGTTGGTTTCATTAACATTAACTTATTTTTACTTGCTATGAGTTCTAGATATGGCAATCATCACAAAAGTGATGCACCATTAAACAGGGAAATTGTACTGTTACCCCAAAATCATCGTCTTTTCATGCTAATTGGCTTTAACGATAATAAACCCAATTACTATTGTTTAGTAATTGTACATCCTGTTTATGCTTTTAAATTGTAAATACAATGTAAAACAAGGATATGATTTGAGTGGCATGTGAAAAGTTAATAATAGCTTTACGTCTACATCAACCTCCAAATTACTCCGGTTTTGCAACATTGGCTTTAGATCCGGCATCATTTATCGACCAATCTCAGCGATTACTATTATGTGCTCAAGCACTACCCTCCTAGATCCTGTTTCATAAAACTTGATGTCAATAACAAGTTACAAGCTACTGTTATAACCTACTGAAATCACGGCATTTGATTGGCTGAGAGCAAATTTGTCATAGATATTTAGCATTTGTTATAGATAACATGTTTTATGAAACAGGCCCCTGGATCCTGTTTCATTAAAAACTTCTTTTTTAGTATCCAGTGATAAACCTCCATCACAATTTTGCTCTCAGCCAATCAAATGCAACGATTCCAGTAGCTTATAATATGTATTCTAGTTTGTTATTGATATCGATATAAATGCGACCGGGCCCTAATTACAGATCAGTTTGTTTGTGAAAATTCTATATTCTATATTCATTCAATGGATTAATTTGCCCAATGTATGTTCGACGTGGAAATATGTTTCGCTCACATGTAAAATACATATGGAAACGTTGTATCATCCGCTCATTCTGACTTGCGTGCATAAGCATTTTTCCATGAAAGAGTGAAGTTTTCTAAAATGTACGTTTCTTTCCAGCATTGGGGCGCCCGGAAGTCGCTCGGGTAACATTTCATAAAGTATAATATAAAAACAACATATGCAAATTTTCTGTACTTTTGTCGGAAAAAATACATTTATCCAGCACAATGTCGTCTCTTTTTGCGTTGGAGAAGAGCAAATAGCGAGTTTCAATCACACTTTGGCCGCTCTCGCAAGCTCTCACTCGTTTCACTGTGGTCACGAGAGTTTGGGGCAAGCGGATAATGAAAATACTAATCGTTAGCTTTCTTCTGATATCAAACTTGTTTTGATTGATTGTATAATTTTGTCGGAATAAAGGAAACAAAGAGGCTCGACCAATAACTTTCACAATGTTTATACATCTTTTTTTAATTATTAGTAAGATATAACATATTTTTTCTGATATCACGGAAGTTTTGGATTTTATTTAATGAGTAATTTTAAATAAGAGCCATTTTACTGTTTTAATTTACTGGATCGTACCATTAAAGTCGCAGGGTAGAAAGATGCATTTTCCAACCGCGCCAAATTTAATTTACGTTCCGACATTCTGTTAAATGGGTTCGTGTTATTAAGAATCCACTGCTTTCTGCTCCAAAAAAAATGTCCACATGCGGAGTCGTTTATCAACTAAATTATTCAAATTCATGGATGCTTCCTAGCTTCCCAGGTGTTTGTGTTGCTGTTGAAGCATTTCATTCACCTGCTATCATTCTTTGTACTCCAATTGCCAGAACGCAAAATGCATTTTGGTTTTTATAGTTTCATGCAATAAGTAAGTCAATAAAAGAATATGTTCTGCACAATAAAAACAATGTGTGTCCCTATTGTACAATGTAATGTGTCTCCTCATTTTGTAATAGTTAATTTACCCATTCACATAATGGAACTACCTGCCCGATGAAGCCAGTGGCCTGTGACCCCTGAGCACTCAACACCGTGTGGGAGTCAGTTCGTGGTCAAATTCTTTTATGAGACAAATACAAGCAAACGTTTCCATATGAAGGCTCAAACAAAGTTAACCAAGAACATAAATAGGATATGATATATTGGTTATATTTTGGTGGTGACAAAATAATAATCATACATAATATTGATTTTCGTTTGGTTATGGTTTGTTTCGTTTCCTCAAAGTATATTATTTGACTGTCTTTATGCATATTTATAAATGAAAACTATTTAACACTATACGCATAGAGAATGAACTTTGATGAACGAGATATCTATAACAGCAAAACAGTATTGATTTATATTAATAACCGTGTTAGTGATTATGAATGATTCTCATATCATCTTCTTAAATAACCTTTCTAATAGTACATCCAAAATATTTCCATATATTTCTAGTAGTTTTTTTTTCTACCAGCTGTATTAAAAAAAAGGGATAATTAAACGTTATGGTAAAGAATGTTTTGCCATGATTATAATGGATTAAATACGCACCTCCATCATGACCAGTCGATGCATTTGTCCAAGATTCTGTAGCTTCATACTTGTGTAGACCTTCTTCGCCCACACTGCATAGGTCTTCAACCTCGTCCAGAGATCCCGTCAGGATGGTCTTTGGGTTGATTGGATCCGTCACGAAGTGAGGTAACGAACAGAGCATGGTGCCCACAGCAGTCAACATCATCCCAGTGCCAATCCAACGGGGTCGATGTCCCATCTGGCCGTAGTGACTGAGGGGGATCACAAAGAGCGTGCTGACGATATCCGCTGCTATGGTGATGGCTCCGGATTGGGCGCTGTCCAACCGGAAGTTGCGCTCGATGGTGGTCAAGACGGCTCCGATGTAGACGTAAGACATCATGGCGAAGGAGGTAGTGATCATCATGTGAACGGTGAAGACCTTTGGGTTGGCAAGGCGTTGGGACCAGGATGGGGCACAGGTGGGAGGACAGCAACATAGAGTGTCCTCTTCAGGGATACTGTCGAGATCTTTGTGAACATCTTGACCACGCCCTGACCTCGCCTTACTGCTCCGGTTATTATTGATGTTGGAATCAGTCATGTCTGCACCTAGTTGAACTAAATTAAAAAGATAACAAATTACTAGCTATAAATTGATTCAGGATGTATGACTTGAGCAGTAGAATCGGGGAGGGGGAGGCAATTAACCGGGGTTTGTTTTGCACTCGCCCCCCCCCCTCCAAACACACACGCACACACACGCACGCACACACATACACACTCTTAGATAAACCAATTATGATTCAAGGAATATTACTCTTGGGTTACTCTCCTAGGCTACTTCATGGTCAATGACATTATCAGGATTGTAAAAGAATCTGCTGTTCGGCCATTAGTGCTGCAAATGATTATTTATCAATAAACCCTTTTAAAACATTTGATTTGATTTGATTTAATTCGGTTTATTGCAATAATAGAACATGCAGTTGGGAAGCTGAAATTGCTCAATTAACAAAGTCAATGTACAACACAATGATAAACGATCAAAATATGAGTGACTAAAATGTACAACCATAAATCATGCATAATGAAATAAAATGAAACTCAAATATTACATCAGAATCTAAATATATTACAAATATTAAAAACATTAAACAAAATAATGTGCAATCAAAGGTTACCAACAAAAAGGAGAGAGAGAGAGAGGGAGGGAGAAAGATGGAACTAGCAAGAGGAATAGAAGGAAGAAGAAGAAAGAAAGAACATTTGATCAGAGACTATACGAAAGATTGGAGGAGAGGGATAAAGAAGGGCAGAGTAGAAAAAGAAAAGTAGAAAGAGAGGAGAATGAGATGACAAAAATGTTATCTCTACATTATTTTTTTACTGCATGCTTCATTATGTCAGAGTAAAATGATGTGCCAAGAACAGTAAGGCCTACAGGCATTGTGGAAACCAACAATGACGGTCGCATCCTACCGGGTACCCATTTTAACAACATTTTAACATTATGGAAACGGACCAATGTAAATGTAGACCTACATCACAAGCAGCGTTATATAGTTAACCCTGCATTTGAACTTTCTATTTGACATGCTTCAGGACCCGGCTGCAATACATGACTGCATCAATGACCGGAAAACTTGTTTTTGTGGTCATAACCAGAATGACGATCGATATGAAATAATTCTTTGATTATATACACGCAGCGGGGCAAAACATGACTGAAGTATAACCTTGTACTAAAGTGATCTATTCAGTAGAAAACTTTACAATAATAGGATTAGCCTCCCATTGAAACGTGGATAAGGATGCATAGTTCGAGACGAATGAAGGCAATTTTAAGAATGGGCAATAAACAGGTCTAGTGATTGAAGGTATTGAACATCGCCAAACAAGGGTCTAGTGGGACTTTGAACTTGTGATTCAAATCACTGCCTTATGAGACTTCTGCGTGTCATTGTTTGAAAACATCACTGACGTCCATGGCGTGCGAATACAACAAAAACACGGTACTAGTCACTACAAGGTCCAATTCTTCTTGAAAGAAGATCAAGACTTGAAAGTAAACTTCAATAAAAGAAAGCAGGGAAATGAGACCTTATGATGGCCCCGTCTAGTAATCGTAACTTATTTGCGATTGACACCAATCGCAATTATGTACGTTGGGTACACTGGCGTACTGATGGTCGGGGGAGGGGGGGGGGGCAGTTGACCTCCCAAATAAAATTCAAACGTGGTTTATTTCTAATGCGATACCAGTGATTTACAAATGTTGCTGAAATGGCATGATTTCTACCTGAGCTTCCGGGGGCTCCACCCCTGGTACCCAACAAGGACCCTTAGGCGGGCCCCTGACTGCTCATCTGACGGTAATGAAATGCATAAAACCCCTTACATTCCGGAGACTCTGCCCCCTGGACCCCACCAAGGCCCCTAAGGCGGGCCTCTGACTGTTCATCTGATCGTAATGTAATGCCTTAAACGCCTGAGCAACTGGGGGCTCCGCCCCTGGACCTCACTCTATTAGTAACCTGCCAGTGTCACAAATAAGGTATCAAAAATCTGAGTGATCTGACTGTAAATAAATATGTCTAAAAGCCTTGAGCTTCCAGGGGCCCTAATTAGGCGGGCCCCTGACGGTTCATCTGACCGTTATTGAATGCCTAAAACCCCTGAGCTTAATTTCCCATGGATCCCACGCCAATTTACGCTCCACTTGCTTCGCTCTACCTTATCATAAATATTTTAGCTTTGAAAAACGATCCGCGGAGCCTGTATTTAACATGTAAGAGTGGTTGTGATGCGGATTTTGTTTTATCCCTCCAAAAACATAAACATGTTTTGTTCATTACGCCACTGCATTTATATAAAAGATAGGAGAGCAAAGTTCGGATTGTTTGGAGGACTTGTGATTAATTTGGATCAATCGCAATATTACATAAGACGGGGCCATGATGAGGAGCAGACAATTTTATTATTTATCTATTTCATTTTATTTCATTTCCAGGAACATAAAGGCGTATAACAATAACGAAGAACACAAGAAAACGAATTACAATATTAAATATAATAACAGGAAAAAAGGCCATCAACTAATACCTGAGGATTACCAACATAAACTGAGTTTCTGTAGGAGGCTCTCCTTATTAGTTGATTTTGTAATACTTAACTATATACAATATTCATAAATGACATAAGATATATATAATTAAATACGAAAAAGATGCAAAAGTGAAAGTATGAACGAAATCGGACAGAAACAATCAGTAAAGTTACTGCTGTGACGTAGAGTCGGACAACTTTCCCTTTTTGTCAACACACGTAATCACCAAAATAAAAATATTTCACAATGTCTTACTCAGGAGGGTCTTTCCTTTTAGAGAACAATAATTTGCTCTCCAGAATATACATATACTTTGAATAGTGCCCCAATGGATAAGGTACTTAGGAGAAAAAAGGAACTTAAGTAAATGACAAGTTTAATACGGGAGAGTTGTCTGTCACAATCCACTAACCAAATTACCAATTTGAGATTCATAATGATTGAGTGATCTCATTTTTCAAACTTTCATAGGCCTATAGATCATCTTCAGCATTCTATTTCTCTTACTTTTTCTGCTTTCATACAAATGAACATTATTACAACGCTAAGAAATAATATTGAATATGTTGTCTGTTGACTTAGTTATTCCCCGAGTAAACAGTGGATGAGATCTGGTAGCAGATGCAGTTGCAAGGGCATCTGACGGGTGAATGATCTTTCACAATTTCTACCACCCCCCCCCCCCACCCCCTTATTCTCTTTTACGTCAGAGATCCAAAGAATAATTTCCATAATCTCCTTTCGCAACTTCGGTATTTGTATCGCCTATATATATATATATATATATTAGATAGCTTAGACAGATACCGAGATGTGATTGGTCCAGAGCTCGTCACGTGATATCAATTGTGAGGATCCAAATTGTTATATTTTCCTGGCCGGTCACTTTTCGGTGTTATATTAACCAGCTGGTGAAATGAATATATTTTTAATCAATGCATGTCGCCCTCTTGAGGACTGTATGTCACCAATTACACACATTACACCATTACCGAGGTCATTTAATTTTTTCAATTTTTTTTTTTCATGAATTTTTTTTCCCTTGAAATTATTTTTTCCAGATTTTCTTTTTTTCCCCAAAAAATGCTTTTTTGGGTAATTTTTTTTTTTTTTCTCGAAAAATGCTTTTTTGGGTAAGAATTTTATTTTTTCGATTTTTTTTTTTTTTTTTTTTTCCCCAAAATTTGTTTATAATTTTTTTTTTTTTTAAGGTTTTTTTTTCTTTCTTGAACTATCTTGACAGATTATTTTGCCGTAATTTCCGAAAAAAAGGGGAATATTTTTTTTCGGGCAAATTATTTTTGGACCCCCCCCCCCCCCCCCCCCCACAAAAAAGGGCTATCTAATATAACAGTTATTGACTGGCAGGAGGTATATAACATTCTTTGGACCTGAAGGGAGTTATATTTCCCTCGTGACCATATTTTCCCTCAGCGCTGCGCGCTTCGGGAAAATATAACCACTTGGGAAATATAACTCCCTTCAGGTCCAAAGAATGTTATATTACACCCCCTACCAGTCAATAACTGTATAATATTGATTGATTTTTATTCGACAAGCTTCCAATATACAACAATATACAATAATAACAGATCAAAAATAAGTCAGCTTGAACAGGATAACCCACGAAAGCTCGAGAGCTTATTTCCAGTGGGGTCCCTTACAGACATGTATACAATTAATAAATTAAAATAGTAATATTTACAGACAGATAAGAAAATTAAAAGAACTACTTATTAAAGATAATAATAACAACATTAAACTGATGATAGAAATGATATTAAGTACAAGAAGAAAAAGAAGAAGGAGAAGAAGAAAAAGAGGAGAAGGAAGAAGAGGAAAATAATGATGAATTTGTAGAATTTCTATAACGTACGAAAACATAAGTATATACAACATGAAAAAGTATGAACCGACAGAAGAATAACAATTTCAATCATATAACATGTCATTCACTTCTCTTCTCTGACTGTCAAGTATTAGGTATTCCTTTAATTTCCTCTTAAAATGATCATAGTTTCCTATTTCTTTTACACCATTGGGAAGGGAATTCCAATGTTTTATGGCATTGTAATAAAACGAATTTCCAATACTACCTACTCTTTCTGGTAAGTTAAAGTTGAATCGTCTATTTCTTGTATTATAATCATGTACGTCAGTAACAAGATCGAAGTTGGATCGAATATAATGATTCGCCCTAGTATGATATATTTTATGCACGTGATGCAATGCGAGTTGTTTTGATCTTTGGTCGACTTCAAGAAAACCAGCTTTAGAAAGTTCGCTATAGCCAACATGAGTTCTTGGACCAGAACAGTTGATAAATCTCACCATTTTGTTCTGTATAATCTTCAACTTCTTTTGATCTGACTTGTTTATGTTACTGTACCATGCAGGGTTAGCATAGTCAAATAAACATTGAATAAGAGCAAAACAGAGTGTACGTCTTGCTTTTAAATCCATACAACTTTGATATCTGTACAAAAATTTCAGACGAGAATTTGCTTTTTTT